GGCCTGCTCGGCTTGGCCCATCTATTCACGCAAGAAATTATTAACATAGTTAGACCCAAAAAGTAAATTTGTTTTACTTAGACTAAAAAATGTTATAGTTCTGCAGATCTTAAGCACCTAGTTTTACGACAACCACCTCCTATAAAAATTATGTGCTGCAAGTTCACAATGGCATGGCCCAACTAAAGCTCCTTCTTGTTCTTGTTCTATTTCTTATCTGGCAAACTACCTCATATCTCCCAAATACTGAATAACATCTACAAACATATGCATAACAAATTATCACCACATCACACGGGCAGAACAAAACACATACCTTAGTCCTAGTCAGTGAAGATGTTAGATCTTTGCACAAGTGCCCACGTACCTTGGTGTAGAGCGGACATTGTCAGACTTGAAGTGCTGCTTGGACGGTGTGCTCCCATCAGCTCACATAGCAGGGGCCACTGCTTGCACCGCGCTCTCGGACACTGCTCTGCCACTGCCGCAACCACCAGCCATAAGCCCCGCCGCGAGCAGCCAACCAAGATGTTGAATCTTTCCATTAGTGCTGCATTCAGGTGTGCAGTTCATCTAGTAAATTAAAGACATGGTATAAATTATCATTTAGCAATGAGTGGGCAAAAAACATCAGTTCGTGTACTTGCAATGAAGATTCTGAATTTTCAAACTATCTTGCTACTTCACACTCACGACTGGCTTATCTTACTCTTATCAGTCATTACTCCTGAATAATATATTGGCAGAAAACAATGAAATAGAAAGTCATTTGATGAGTAGATAGAAGCAGGAGCACATCTATAAAAAGACCTCTAAAGCATGTTCGTTTGAAATAAGGAACAACCTTAATACAATGATGCAAACCTTAAGGCGTGTTTTCTTACAATATTGCTAAATTATACAAAGTACACCAATGCAATTTTCCTAGCTATTTCACGACATAAAGAGTTCTAGAACAACAACAGCAAAGCTACTCAACTCTTGCCCCAGTTTTGGTCCATAGGTTCCAGTCTGCCCGAGATCTCTTCTACGTAAAAATTGTCCTAATGGCCCCTCCTCCCGTTTCTGTCAAACCAATTCTCATTAAAATTTCTCAAACTCTAGAAGGACTCCATAAACCTGCAAATAAGTGTTCATAAGAACCACACCCCAAGGGATACACATGGAAGAAAACAATGAACATTCTAGTAATTCAGTTAATTGGCAGTGTGCATAGGGCATCATATTGACTATATGATGTTGTGTCGGATGATGTACAAAAAAGCTTGGCAATACGATCAATGGCAGTATACTGATGCCGATGCCGCATTTTCATAAAGTTGTCTAGTCTAAATGAACAAGCATACCATGTTGAAATTTCTAGTGACACGATGATGTGAAACTGAACTGAAAACAGAATTCTAGTACTAAACATAAATTTTAGAATACATCTACTGAAAGATGAGCAACATCAGATCAATTATCTAAATTGTGATCAAACACTGAAGAGATATATGATATATGATATGATAACAACACTAAGAATGTGAATGTTGTGATGAGCTTCAATGTGATTATGCAGTACCTACCGAAGAGCACCTCTGTGACATGGAAGTAACTACCATATATATGTGGCCATCCTTTTTCTCTGAGCAGATCTAAATCAAGCAAGATATCTGAAAACCACTTGTGTATCTGTAGGCATATTTGTAATCAACATATTTATTGTAACTTGATTCTTCACTTTTGTTTCTCTTGAATCCATCAGAATGGTCTTCTTGGTGCGGACTTCATCCTTCATCAACTAAAAACTTGACCAAAAAGATGAATCAGCTTGTACACATAACGTTAAATCACTGACAAATTTCCAAGATGAATATATACTCCCGTTGTGAAGAGTTAGAACATATTCAATTAATCCTAACTGAGAACAGTTAGAACATATCCAAACTTCCTAGAGAGACATGTATTTCTAGGAAGCTTAGGCCAGGTTACAATTATGTACATATGTAATGTCTCAGGAAAACCGGATGAAATAGCTCCAAGGGAGCTAGCAACCCCACCCTTTGGCTGAACTGTTGCACATTCTTGATGCCTGGGGAGGAACATGATGCCCAGAAATGAAACCTATGTTTTCGTGGAAAAAAACTTGTTCATAAGCGTGACTGAAAGTATTACCTTGGTGCGAAGTCTGCCAACATGCTCAGATCTAGCAACAGCTGGCGGGGTGGTTGCGTGGCTTGGGGGCCATAGCAAGGACGTTGGCCAGGATGGCAAGCAAGTGTGTCGAGATCGAGGATGTGGGGCTTCAGCAGTGGTAAAAGGATGGACGTGTGGACTCTCTCTTACCAGGTCGCACTATCGACCTGCTAATCAACTTCTTTCTCTTGCTCTGGTTCTGCTATTATTCCAACATGTCGTGCTTAGTTTAATTTCCATGTCATTCTTTGACTATGACTGATCAATCGACACCAGTCCTTTCTATGATCTACTACTTCGTAGTTGTTTGTCTTGTTTCTCTGCATCGCTTGCCGCAAAAATTAAAACTTTCAGGTGCGGGTTCATGAGAATGTTAGTAAAATATTCAAGAAATAATTCTCTTGAGCAATGGTCATACAGACGTGACATTGTAGGCTGGATTGCTACCTCAAGGTGCTCCAGAGATCTAAGAAAATAAAAATGTCCAGGGATCTTTTACCCATATGCACACAATCAAAACTTATGACCTTTTATAGTCTGCTGGATAATGGACACGCTCAGATGCTGCAGTTCTAACCTTTAGCTACTTCTCCCAATCATGAATATGTTGGTAAAGTAGGCTGCATAAGCTACTCGATACACAGAAATATAACGCATTTGTTCTTAGAGTAACCTGCAACCAAAACAGCCATTCATGCCCATCTTCTCTGAAGTTTGAGGCAATGGTTGCTCTACTTCAAGTACTGCGACAGTAGAAGGATTGAGATTCTCTATTGTTTTTGTCTAAAACTAGAAAGGAATAAGAAAAATAATATTTGGTCAAGGTTGTTGCAATTCCTCTAACAAATTTCTATGAAGTCCTGCTAGCTGGTATAAAATACAAACTTACTATATTATCACTGCCAACCTCTAATACAAATTCTTAACCATGATTCCCTTGGAAAAAATACTTTCCACATGAAGTTATTTATAAAAAAGGGACAACTTCAATGTTTCTAAAGTTAAAAGTACTCAACAATAAATAGCTAATTCTCATGCACACCTTCAGCTAAATAACTACAGAGACGCAAAGTGGAACCATGTAGCACTAGTCTTACAAACAACTCAATTATAAACTTACTTGGGTCTGGAACTCTTGCTCTATTAATCTACCAACTTTAGCTTCCTCCTCTGCTACCATATTCAATATTTTAATCTCTCTCCAGCAGTTGTGTTAAGTCCATTATCAGACCCTGAGCCTGAAGAATGCATCAAACACAGTTATGTGCTTCCTCGTTGAACCTAACCTTCTTAAGAGAAGCAGTATACTGAATTAATCAAGAACATGTTATGTTTAGTGTTTTCACAGCAAGCCATACACAAAGAGGAAGCACGGGATCATAGTAGGCATGCTTGAACACTTAATAATTTAGCAAGAACATGATTTATTAATCGTAAATAATTTTCTTTAGCCATGTAATCTACACTCTACAGTATGTCTTGAACTGCAGTGCAAAAATCCTTTCCACATATCCTGAAACAAAGCATCATCAATAAACATTAGTAAAATCCTACCCATCCAAATTTATCTGTTGACAATATCTAGCGCTTAGTTGTTAAATAGGTAAAAAAATAACTTGGCTAAGCCCCCAGTGGTGTTGGTCTGCATACCAAGAAGATGGTGTAGTACTTGAGGTTGCCGTCCATGTTGGTGTTCAAAGTCGGACATTGGTTCGCGCATTGTAGCCACATCAAGGATAAGCAGGCTGGCCACAAAGTCTGTGGTAGTGGTCGTGGGCATAATAAGTTCCGGGAACAAATTAAATGGATAGATCAAAAAATATACATGCCAACAGAGCTCTTTGCATGTTCCATGAGAACAATAATAGTGAATTTGTTTCTTTTAGCAAGCCCAGCAGTAGTAGCAAGAAGTTCCACATATATAATCCACATCTAATTCCTAGTGAAGTCACTTCTACCTAATTACTTAAAAGGTAAGATAGTAAGAAAAGGTGAAGCAAAAGAAAAGCACAGAAAAATTAAACATGAAGATTGATTACCTAAAGGATGCAACGTATCTAAAAGTTTGTTGCCTATGCAACTTCTCCATTCTAATTTAGAGGCTTGCTTGAGTTTGGGGAGAAATAGCTTAAAAAGTGGAATTTTTGGGTTGGATAAAGACCTAAAGTATTGACTTCTCATTATTTAGCTGTGTCAGTAAGTTATTCTTGCTCAACCCCTAGGTAGGTGTTTCTCTTTCAAATTTGCTTATGATTTGATAAATTGTGTCTCTTTTGAAGGTTGTAGGAACTCCTAGTTACATGCGCCCTGAACTTATTGCTGATATTCCGTATGGCTCCAAGTCTGACATATGTTTGCTAGGCAAGCATTCCTATCTAACATTCAGTTGCATGTCTTGCTTGCTTGTTCTCTTGGCTAAAAATCTGCAATTTTCAGGCTACTTCATCTATGAGATGACTTCGTTGAAGCATGCATTCAAAGTGTTTGTAAGTAGCTATGTTGACATGCTCTTTAAGTTAGATCTGCTTCTTTCCAGCAAAAATATAAAAGAAAAAAATACCGCTCCTTCTTTCATCAAAAGTTGCATCTTAGATGATGTTTTTTTCCTAACAAAATATGTAGACAATGGTAAACAAGATAAACGAGTCTGTTGTCGCTCCTCACGCCACCCACTGGCCACCACCTCATCATGATGCCAGGTGAGGACATCGACCAAGTGCAGTGGCGGAGCCAGACGAGACAGCTCAATATGTTGGGGTTTAGCAAGGTGCGGACATTAACTAATTAAAATAAGATTGTAATAAACTCTGTCGAAACTACTTTCACTGAAAGAGATATATCTTGGGTCGAAACATTAAACTAGAATTAATTACCTTCAGATGGTTGCATAATTTCTTAAGAACAGTAATATATGCCAAAACTTTAGTGCTCTTTGCTTCTTCAGATATCAAGCGCTGAGAACGAGAGAGAACGTGAGAGAGGGGAGAGCGAGAGCCCCACGCCGTGCGCTACTCCGGCGTCGGCATCCACCGGGAATTGCACCCACGCTGCAGCTTGCTCCGACCGCGACGGCCACCTTCCTACCCTCTCCTTGCCCCCCTCCCTCCAGCCTCCCCTTCCTCCTCCACTCATCATGGCGGCGAGCCCGAGATCGGCCACCTCGACATTCCGGCCACAGGGCTAGCACCCCGTGGTCTCGGGCCTAGGATCTCTTTGGAGTCTGGCGGCTCAGAGGTTCGGGGGCCAGTTGCACTCGTCGTGCGACCTGCAGAGGCGTTGGGGGCGGCGGATCCGGTGCGGGGTGAGGAGGCTTGGGTACGCCCACCGCCTACCAAGAAGGAGATGTGGAGAAAGCGCCATGGCGTCGGAGATCCGGCCGGGCGTGGCCACATTCACGAGCGCGATCAGATGCGACGAGAGGTGTCACCGGAGATGCAGGACAAGTGCTTCCGCTGTCTGGAGAAGGGTCACTACAAGACAGACTGCACGAACGACATCGTCTGCTTCCATTGCGGTCTCCCTGGTCATCGCTCCCGGGACTGCAAGCAGCCGCGGAGCCCCTCCCCTGTCGATGAGCTGCGGCGGGATGCGATGGCCAAGGTGGCTCACCGGGCTTTGCCGGGTGCCTCCACGGGGGGTGTGGGCCCCCGTGTTGCACCGCCACCCCCGCCTCCCCTTCCGAGGTCGGGCGTCCAGTCGGAGGTGGCTACGGCCTGGCCTCCATTGGCGCCCCCGTGGCTCCAGGTTGCGCTCGAGGTGGAGGAAGGACCGGCCGAGCTCTACATCACCAGGCGGTCCGGGGCTATTGCGGATCTGGAGCGTCGGCTTCAATTCGCTATGGTGGCTTACGTTGCAGGATCAAGGCGCGTTCTTTCGACAGATCATGTGAAGGAGATGCTGGAGGGAACGCGGGAGATTCCCCCGAAGCTGATCTCGGTGCATTGACACCGCCCGGAGGATTTTCTGGTGGTTTTTGCCTCGGCGGAGCTCAGGAACAGGGTCTCGGCCTGCCCTTCCGTGGAGGATCGTGGTGATCGTCTGATTTTCAGGCCTTGGAACAGGCAGTCGCAGGCAGTGCACTCGATGTCGTGTTTCAAGGTGTGGTTGGAGCTTGAGGGGATTCCGCCCCATGCTTGGGATCGCTTGGTGGTTGAAGATCTGCTGGGTTCGTCATGCAAGCTCGATTCCATTGTGCTGGAGACTGCATCTCGCGTGGACCTGTCCTCGTTCAAGACCACGGCGTGGATGGCAGACCCGTAGTGCATTCCTATGCTGCACTGGCTGGCGGTGCCGGAGCCGAGGGAGGAGCGGCCGCCGGCGTTGCTTCAGTACAAGGTGCTCATCCACCTGGATGCGGTGATGGATTTGAGGGATGGTGGTGAGCCGTGGTTCCTCGAGGGCTCGTCAAATAGTGGGCGAAGCGGTATGCCGGATCAGGACAGAGGCTTCCCTGGGTCAGGTGCCCAGATGCGCAGATTGCACTGGCAGTTCGGAGTTAGGGACAGGAGAGGTGGCGGCTTTGTCACCGGTGGCGAAGGTGGCGGTCGCTCCAACGGAGCGATGGTGGGCCAGGCCAGTTGCTCGTCTGGCTGGCGCCTGCCCCCGATGGACGCTATTGTTGATGTCAGGCCAGAGGCCCCACGGATGAGGGCGATTGATAGGATCACGTGTCGCCAATCGGCTTTTAACCGACCGACCACGTTGACAGGGCCCGCAAAACGCTCGAGTGGCAGCCGCGATGGTGTTTCAAATCTGCTGGGCGGGGGGTTCGAAAGGAGTGTGGTTGGTGGCCGGGCGTGTGCAGAGCATGTTGCACCTTCCCCGAGGCCCAACCAGCAGTAGGATCCCGAGGCGAGCAGGACCCCACAAGATACACCACAGCTCACAAAGGCCACTGACCCACCAATGGGAACAGGCTTGCGGATCAGGGCCAGGTCGTGGTGGCCACACGAACAGAGTCTTCGGTGGTTGGCGACAAGGGGAGCCAGGAGGGCCTAGAGGTACAGGCTATGGGACAGGTGAGTCGCGACAACGAAGAGCGAATGGGGCTAGCTGAACTGGAGTCCACAACGGGCACAGCCGTGCGGGATCTGTGCAGTTGCCTAGCTGCTCTTAATTCGAGAGTGGCCACCCAGCCATGCACGGAGAGGTAGGATTCGGTGGCAGGATTAAACAACACAACAGAGGAAGAGGCACAAAAGGAGAGGTTGGTGGGGCCCCATAGTGATGGGAACCATGCACATGCACGGAGCACGTACGTCCCGCACGTAGTGGAAATGGAACAGCACAAGACAGTAGAGGAGGATCAAGAGTTGATCAGCAACAACTGCACAACTCTAATCTGTGCACCACAGGGCAGTGACACTCTATGGATGACCACGAGCTAAGCAGTGGCATATGGTAAGCTGAAGATTTTCTGCTCGAACATCATCAAGCGGATGGCTCCTCCACTGCTCGAGGAGGTACAGGCTTCTTAGCTCAGGCCAGAAGCGGAGCCATTCACACCCAAGAGGACCACAAGGCATCAAAGAAAACCACAGCGACCAAAAGGCCAAAAGATGCACCGGTTGAGTACGTGTTGCTCCAGGCCTTGGGTATGGTTCCGCACAACCTGGAGGTGGACGATGGAGTGGTGCACGAGCTCAGGGAGCTGTTCGACTCACTGTTGCACGAACAACACGTCCGGATCATTGCGGCGCTCTTTGGCAAGGAGATCCCGTCCAGAGAGAGATGGAGGCGCAGAACGCGGTCACGGTGTGCACCTAGGTGGGGCCACCTTGAGTGTAGGTGTGGAAATCCTCCACGGATTTCCACCCACAGGTGATCTGCTGGAATGTTCAAGACTTGAACAATCCAGCTAAATGCAAGGCGGTGTGGGAGTTCGTGAGTACTCTTGAGGTCAACCTAGCTTGCTTGCAAGAAACGAAGTTGGATGTAATAGACAGATATCTAGTTGTGCAATGTTTGGGACCATCTTTCGATGGTTTTGCTTACCTGCCGGCTATCAAAACTAGAGGGGGTGTGCTTCTTGCGTGGAAGAGATCGGATTTGGAGGTGGAGGCCATACAGATCAACACTAACTTCTTGACAGGTCGGGTGCGCACAAAAACTAGTGATCCTTGGTGGATCTCTGTGGTGTACGGACCGCAAAGCGACGAGCAGAAGTGCATCTTCCTGGAAGAGCTTAGGTCAAGGCGAGCGATATGCCCGGTCGCGTGGCTCGTCCTTGCAGATTTCAACATGATCCTTTGCACCTCGAAAAAGAGTAATACTAACCTAAACAAGAACATGGTGAACAAATTCAGAGAGTTTATGGACGATCAGCAACTGTGCGAGATGTACATGCACGGGAGAAAATATACATGGTCGAACAAGAGGGACTCGCCCACCCTCACTAAAATATATAGAGTCATCATGACAGTAGACTAGGAGCTGGACAATGCGGATCACCTATTGTAGCCGCTGTCCATAGGAGTCTCGGACCATGCGTCGTTGCATCTCACCACGAGCGCGGGATTCTGTCCTAAAAAATGCTTCAGATTTGAGCTCTTCTGGACAAAGCTGGAGGGCTTCAAAGAGGCAGTTAAGGAGGCGTGTGTGTGTGATGACGGGATCATGGACCCGTTTAAGAGGATGGATGCGTTGCTGCGCAACTCGGCAGCCACCTTACAAGCCTGGGGCCAGCGCAAAATTGGGAATGTGAAGTTGATGATGAGGGTGGCTACTTGGGTTATTAGCAGATTGGACGTTGCACAAGAAAATCGAGCGCTCCATGCCTCAGAGATCTGGCTCCGGCGAACGCTCAAGCATGCCCTGTTGGGAATGGCGGCTCTCGAGAGAACTATTGGCGGACAGCGTTCCAGACTCCGCTAGATCATAGAGGGAGATGCCAACACCAGATTGTTCCAAGCGGTGGCAAATGGTAGAAGAACCAAGAATTTTATTGCTCATGTCAAAACGGGCACGGAGATTGTCACGGATCAAGAGAGAAAAGTGGAGGTGTTCTTGGACGCCTTCGAGAGGCTGTTGGGGACCGCGCGGGTCAGGGAGCACACTCTAGACTTGCAATATCTGGGGTTGGAGGCCAAGGACCTACAATTCTTGGAACTGATGATTACGGAAGAGGAAGTATGGCAGGTTGTCAAGGAATTGCCACCCGACAGGGCCCCGGGCCCGAATGGATATATTGGAGCTTTCTTCCAAAAAGCTTAGCAGATCATAAAGAAAGATGTCATGGCAGTTATGGCAAAGCTGTTCATGGGAGACACCCGGGGTTTTGCTAAGCTCAACAAGGCTAACATAATCATCATCCCCAAGAAAGCGGAGGCAGAAGAAATTGGTGATTTCAGACCTATCAGCCTTATCCATAGCATTCCTAAGATCTTCGCCAAGGTTCTTGCCAATCGGCTTCGCTTGCAAATGCACGAGCTTGTCGGGATGAATCAATCTGCATTCATAAAGGGGAGACAACTACACGACAACTTCCTGTTGGTGCGACAAGTAGCAAGGAAAATACACGCGAGAAGAACACCTGGAGTCTTCATCAAGCCGGACATATCGCGTGCGTTCGACTCCCTCTCCTGGCCTTTCCTATTTGAGGTGATGATAGCTAAGGGTTTTGGCCAGAGGTGGTTAGACTGGATGGCGGCGCTACTACATACTGCGAGCACTAAGGTGATGGTCAACGGGTCACCCGGGAGGAAGATATTACATGCATGCGGTCTGAGGCAGGGGGATCCGATCTCGCCCCTGCTCTTTGCTATAGCTATGGAGGCCCTTTTGGCCCTCGTACACAAGGCCACGGACATGGGAGTGCTTGCTTCTTTTGCTGGAATCACGACAACACAAAGGTTGTCCATCTATGTCGATGATGTGGCAATGTTCGCCAGACCGGCGGAGTTTGACCTGGTTGCGATCACTGAGATCCTAAAAGCTTTCGGAGAAGCATCGGGGCTCAGAGTGAAGTACCGCAAGTCCACAGTGGTGCTCATAAGAGGGAGTGAGGAGGACAGGGCTAGAGTGGCCGGAATGCTTCAGTGTGACATCTCAGAATTCCCCTACCGCTACCTGGGATTGCAGCTTCCGATCAAGAGTCTGACAAGAGCAGAATGGCAACCCATGCTGGATAAAGTTAGGCATTTCATGCCGGCTTGGCAAAGAGGACTGATACAAAGACCTGGACGGTTGATCCTGGTGCAGTCGGTAGTGGCAGCTCGCCTAGTTCACCACCTGATGGTAACAGAGGCGTCGGAGTGGGTGCTTGAGGACATGAACAAATGGATGAGATCATTTTTTTGGGTGGGCAAGGACAAGTGTAATGGTGGACAATGTCTGGCCTGGGACAAAATCTGCTGGCCAAAAGATTATGGCGTCTTAGGGATTAAAAACCTGAAGTGGCAAGCGATGGCGCTTCGGGTAAGGCGGGAATGGATCAAGAGGACGGATGCTCAAAGGCCGTGGCAAGGTCTACTCATGACCCCGGACGAGGAGGCAAGAGAAGTGTTTGATGTGATGGTCAGCATTAATATGGGACTGAGAGACAAGGTGCTCTGCTGGAAAGACAATGAATCCATGGAGTATCGGCTGCGGAGATTGCACCATTTGTAGTTGCTACGGTCCCTACGAGGAGGGTGAATAGACGCACGGTGCAACAAGCTTTAGATGAGGGCAGCTGGGTGCATGACTTCAAGCAAAACAGCTCCTTCACCGCCCTAATGCAGTACATGCACCTTTGCCAGGCAATCGATATGGTGGATCGTGACCCGTCCCGTCCGGACAGTTTCACTTGGCCGAGATCGCCAACTGGCTCCTACATGGCCAAATCAGTCTATGACTATCTCTGCTCTGAGCTAGCCCGATCGCCTATGGCTAAGTGCAACTGGAAGAGTTGGGCACCACTCAAATGTAAGTTGTTTGTATGGCTCACCCTGCAACATAGGATATGGACGTCAGATAGGAGAGCAAGACATGGTTTACAGGACCACCCGTCGGCATGTTACACGTGCTTGCAGGCGGAAGACAACGTGGATCACATCTTGGTGAATTGCATGTATGCACAGGAGGTGTGGCATAAGGTGTTTCATTACATCGCAATCGAGGTGCAAGAGCGGGTGGAGTTGGACGTGTTTAAAGATTGCTGGCTGATAGCGTGGAGGAGCTTCAGAGGACAAGACCGCAGAGGATTTGACACGCTGGTGATGGTGGTGGCATGGGCCCTCTAGAAGCAAAGGAATGCTAGGGTGTTCAACAGGAGAAGCGAGCAAATGACAGCTAGTGAGTTACCATTTAGGATCCTTGACGAGATTGCCGAGTGGAGGCAGGCGGGTCTAGGAGTGGGAGGTTTACAATGATTTGTGAGAAGTTGATCTAGGATAGCTGGTGTGGGAGTTGGGTGTGTTTTAACCCGACCTCTGTGTTCGCACAGCTGTCGGTACTCTTGTAATTATGTTTCTCTCTTCTATAAAGTTAAGATACGCCATTGGTGTACTCTTGAAAAAAAAGATATCAAGCGCTTAACCTAACAGGGTCAACCACAAACTCCTGTAAATATAACTCCGACTACCTTAGATGTGCCTACTGAATATTGCTTGAAACTCATAACGGTACGGAATTTCCTTACATTTTTGGAGTGTGTGAAGTGGTTGTACAGTGTCATCTGTAAGGGAGTCAGCTTGCAACACACTACTTCAACAATCTATACATAAGCAGGGTTAAGTAATGTAGATGAGGCACAATTATATAATGTAAAAGAAGGAAGAATCAATAAAAAATGGATAGTAGGTACACAATTCTTTTTGTGTTCTCTGAATGTTCGATGAACATATCTGGCCAAATATACACCGGACAGGACATACCTTTGGTGGCAAGTGATTGGACAGCATGGCATTCGTTCGTCTCAATATAAACTGAATATCATTGAGAAGCCATCAGAAGAATTCAGAAGGTAATTAAGCTAGAGCCCATAAAATTGGAAGAAAATGCATCCAAAAAATTCTAGAGGAGATTATTATAACATAAATGTGGACAATACAGTTGTAAAAAATTATGTAGTGCAGAGTGCAGACAACCTTCTTCAGAGGAAAAGGGCTTGCCTGATTTACTTTTGCACTAAGCTCTCCAGATCTCTCAGATCCCAACTTTTTTTCTTCTGCAGTTGCTATGGGTTCTCTTCCACGAATTATCGGTGCCTTCAGTTAGGGGCAGATAATGTGTTAAATACAGAGGAAAGGAAGATATAATGCAATTAACAGGAATAGCACATGGTTTTAGGTGCACAACACATGAAGAAACTTGAATAACAAATATCTGAGAACACCACCATCTGTTAATAAATACTTCCAGATCTCATTCCCCGCTGCCACTGGTCCCAATTCCCTTCCACCATCCGCCTGTCATGAATGGCAGACAGAGAAAGGAGAGGGCAGGGCATCCTAGGGAGAGATATAAGAGGAGGCGTTTACCTACAAAGGTCACCATCACCTGCATGGCGCCGCTCCAGAACAGTGAGGAAATGCTATGGCGTTAGTGGTGGAGACCGGCAGCTGCAATATAGACGGGAAGGAGCGGTGGCCGCCATGAAGTGGATTAGCGTTTGCAAAGAGATTGCCGGCGGCGAAGGGAGGTAGCACAAGGATCGAGGATGCTCTGGAGGCGGTGGCTTGATGCGAGTGCGAGGGCAGCAGCGAAGGGATCTGCTATGACCTGGTTGGGGATCGAGGGGGAGGCACCTCGCCTCTATGCGCGTGGCGGGTTCTTGGAGGCGCGGAAGCACTCCTCCTGCCCCGGCGGGTGGTGTCGGTGTCAAAACCGGTGGATCTCGGGTAGGGGGTCCCGATCTGTGCGTCTTAGGCTGATGGTAACAGGAAGCAAGGGACACAATGTTTACCCAGGTTCGGGCCCTCTCGGTGGAGGTAAAACCCTACTTCCTTCTTGATTAATATTGAAGATATGAGTAGTACAAGAGTAGATCTACCACGAGATCGTAGAGGCTAAACCCTAAGAGCTAGCCTATGATGGTATGATTGTAATTGTGATCGGCCTTCTAAGGACTATCCTCTCCGGTTTATGTAGACACCGGAGAGCTAGGGTTTACATGGAGTCGGTTACAAGGAAGGAAACATAATATCCGGATTGCCAAGCTTGTCTTCCACGCAAAGGAGAGTCCCATCCGGACACGAGCCGAAGTCTTGAGTCTTGTATCTTGACGCTTCTATAGTCCGGATGATGTATACAGTCTAGCTGTCCGGATACCCCCTTATCCAGGACTCCCTCAGTAGCCCCTGAACCAGGCTTCAATGACGATGAGTCCGGCGCACAGTCTTGTCTTCGGCATTGCAAGGCGGGTTCCTCCTCCGAATACTCCAAGGTTATTATCGAACACGTAGGTCCTGTTCGGATCTGCAAAGTGATCTTCACATACCACCGTAGAGAGAATGATACTTCAGCTGGCAACTTTTAGACGACATGACATGCCATTAGAGCCAGGTCATTATTCGAACCATTTTTTCACAACTAGCCACAGCGCGTATTGCAAGGCGGTTTCCTTGACACGTCTTGTCAAAGCAGAGATCATGTCCCCTTATCACGGGATTCTCATCGATACGGGTATGGGTAATCCCCCCATGCCATCAATCGTGGCACTTGGGAAGTAAGCGATTCTCAACAGGCTAGTGGGGAGGCGCACCGCTTTCGTCGCCTCTATAAAGGGATAAGAGTTCCCCATTCTTACCCACGCCTTCTCCCTCCCTCGCATACTCTTGCCCCCTCGAGCTCCAGCGCCCTAGTCCAGGTTTTCTCCGCAAAGTTAGTCATGTCCGGAGCAGGAGGCAAGTGGGTGGCTTCCACCGCGATGGAGAAGAAGATCACGAATCTCCGGGCGGCCGGATACTTGGCCGCAGATATAGCGCACTGGCTACTAGACGAGGGGCAGGTCATTCCAACTCTAGGACCCCACGATAGGGTCGTGTTCCTGGCCCACTTCGTCCATGGACTGGGGTTTCCACTCCACCCCTTCGTCCACGGGCTCATATTCTACTACGGGCTAGACTTCCATGATCTAGCTCCGAACTTCGTTCTCAACATCTCGGCGCTCATCGTCGTATGCGAGGCTTTCCTCCACATCAAGCCTCATTTCGGCTTGTGGCTGCATATCTTCTGCGTGAAGCCGAAGATCGTGAACGGCCAACAAGCGGAGTGCGGAGGAGCCATGGTGGGAAAATGCCTAATGTCACCTGGCCTGACGGCTCCTTTGCGGAAACCGTGAAGGGTGGCAATCAGGGTGGTTCTACATCACCGAGCCACGCGATGCCAACTGAGCGGCGGCCCCCGAGTTCCGATTTGGATCCCCTATGCGGCTCACCTCCTGGGAATAGAAGGGCCTGCTATGGGGCGAATCTACAGAGCTGACCGGACTCATCAACTGCATCAAGGGCATGAAGGATAAGAACATCAAGCTTGTCAACGTGATCCAAGTCATGCTCATTCGCTGGATTCTGCCGTGCCAAAGGCGGGCATTCAATCTGTGGGAGTTTGTCCCGGCCGAAGACCGGACGCTCCAGAGGCTCTACGGCATGAAGCACAAGAACGCGTGGAAGGCGCTGTTCAAGGCCACCGAAGTACCTCCTCTCATAACCGAGGATCGTGGGCTCCACGCCGCACGGCACCCTACCCAGGTGAGTTCTCAGGCCGCCACCGGGTCCAGTTCTTCCCAATGTATTCATGGAGAATTCCTAAGTGATTGTGTATATTTGTTTAGGAGTATGTGGAGACAGCGGAGCGGATTGACAGTCCGGCTCCGTTGCCAGAAAGCCCAGCCAATGATCTTCTGACAAAGATGCTGGTCCCGGCGCCCTATAAGGGGTCGGAGAAGAAGGCCGACAAGAAGGCCCCGGGGACCAGAAAGGGTCTCCGAAGTAAGGTTGCGCAAGCCTCGTCCGAAGACGATGAGGCGCACTCCTCCCCCGAAGGGGAAGAAGAAGAAGAAGAAGAAGAGGAGGCCACCCCGTCCGGAAAGGATGGGGGGCCTGAGATGGCGGGCTAGGGGGTCAGGAGAGGCCCCCAGCGTAAGGCCGTCATACCCTTGTCGTCCGATGACGACGAAGCTGATTCCTCCCGCGGAGGCGGGGAGGAACAGGAGGAACAGGGAGAAACTCCACCTCCCCATACTGGGGGAGGGAAGAAGAGGAAGGTTGCCCCGATGGGAGAGACTGGGACGTCCAAGAAGGGAAAGGTGTCCCTTCCGGACTACTCTGCCACCGCCACTGATAGCGAGGAAGGGTGGCTGCCCAGGAAGAAGCCCCTACTGCGATCGTAAGTATCCGCACTCAATCGTAATTTCGCTTCATAGTTTTGTTTATAATGCCGAACTTGTATGCAGTCCGGCCAGGGCCCATCCTGAAGTGTCGTCTTCGGACGGGTCCTTGAGTGAGTCAGCAATGAACTCACTCCCGAGGGCCACGTCTCCTCGGCTTGCGGACGACACGGGGGTGTTGTCCCGAAGGCTCCCGGTGATGGCGGAGGTGGCCCTGGGGGCGCCTCAAGGCGGCGTCCCAGACGTCGTACTCGCGGGGTTCAAGGTCCCCGCGGATCGTGTTGATGAGAGCCATAGCAAGCCGGGCTCTCAGCCGAACACTCTTCCGGAGCCTTCAGTGGTTCCGGACTTAGGCGGGTAGCCCCTCGTTATGGAGGGAGGGCCATCTGTATCAAGGACTTCCGTTGCGCCCCAGGCGCCGGATTGTCTGCTGGAAGCGCTTTGTGGCGCTACCCTAGATGAAGAGTACCGTACTCTCATGAGTGCGGTGATTCAGAAGGTTTCGTCTGCCAAGAGCGGACTAACCGAAGCCTGCACCAGCCTCCTAACAGGCTTTGAGGTAAGCAGTAAAAATATGTGATTACCACCCGATAGGTAGTAGCCCCTGATACTCTGTTTGGTATTCGGAAAGAAAAACCAAACGGAGGGTCAATTATATTCCGCAGGAGTCTAACAATAAGGTTGAATGTAAATAAACAGGCTGTGCTGCTGGCCGCTGCTGCTCGCACGGCCGAAATCGCCGGCCTAACGCAGGACTTAGAGCGGGCACAGGGAGAGCTCGGCCTCACGAGGAGGCAGCTCGGGGAGAGCAAAGGTGAATGATTCCCCTCTCTCATATAATGAATAGTAAATAAAATTTGATTATGCTAACGACGAAACGTCGTGATATGGTAACAGAGGCCACCAACGAAGTGGTGTCTCTCAAGAAGGCGTTGTCCGAGGCCGAACACAAAGCGGCCTTGGAACTCAAAGAGCGCAAAAAGCAAGAGGCCCGAGTGGGCGAGGTACATGAAGAGCTCTAGGAGCTCGGCAAGAAGCTCGAGTCTGCGGAGCATGAGCTGAAAGCAAAAGAGGTCGAGCTTGTGAAGGCCCTTACAAATATAAAAGACGCCAAGGCTAAAGCCGAGAGGGCACAGCAGGAGATCCAGGAGGCCAAAAAGATAGCGGCGGGTAAGAAATTTTTTATGCAAAGCAAACATCTGGAGGAGGCGTTTCTTTTACTTACCCGAATCCGGAGCTCTCCAGGGGCATTCGCAGATCTGCCATGCAGCGTATCAGATGTCGCGAAGTTCTACCGTGCCCAGGAGGGGAGCTCAACGGAGAAGCTGTTCTGGTCCCAGTATGCTGGGGCCGAACATTCAACGCCTCTGATTGACCAACTAAAGCAGTTGGTCAAACTCCACAAGGCGGCCGAAGTGGCTATGAAGGATCTCATAGTCCGGATATGGCCTGGTGAGCTTCTGCCCACCAGCTACTTCGGCCTGATCAAGTGGATGGTGGATGCATGTCCGCGACTGGAAGTCATCAAGCGATCCGTTTGCATTGAGGGTGCCCGTCGGGCCCTTGCCCGTG